CCCCGCCCCTTCTCCCGCCAGCTCGCCTGCCCTGTCCCGCCCGAGGCACTGGCCGGGCGACAGGCCGCCCGGGCCCAGCAGCGCCGCTCGCCTGGGTCTGAGTGGTCAGTGCCGGACACTGGCGGTGGTTGCTGCCGCTCTCCCGCAGACTGAACCCGCCAGAGCAGCATTTTTAGGAAAAGGCTTGGGTGGTGGCGTCACCGGCCACCCAGACCGGGAGGCTCTGGCCCGGGTCCCCTGGCCGCCCAGACACCTCAGCTGGCAGGGCCCTGTCCTCTTAGGGGCCCCCCGGGACCCCCTCCCTGGGCCTCGCCCTGCCCCCTCCTTAGCTGGTCGCTGCACAGAGGTCGCTTACCGGGTCGCACTTGATGACCTTGGACAGGAAGCCTGTGAGGTGGTGGCAGGACAGCAGGCTGCCGGAGCTCCCCAGGTGCAGGCCCTGCACGGCGGCCACCACGCTGCCCGCGGCCACCATGGACGGCGGGTGGGAGATGAACTTCACGTCTGCGGCACAGGGGGGAGCTGTGAGCCGGGGTCGCGCCCCTCGCTGCGCCAGTGTCGCAGAGGACGTGCGGGAGGGCGCCTGCCCAGGCCTGGCCCACGGGGGAGGGCGGCCGCGCGTGGACAGGGGCACACAAGGCACGGGCGGGCCGGCAGTGTCCAGGCGCCCCTCCCCCGGCACGGGCGCAGCGCAGCCGCGGGCCTGCAGGGGGCGCAGTGGGCACGCGCCAGTGGGAACAGCACGGCTGCAGGGCTAGTGGCTGCAGGGCTAGTGGCGGCTGCAGGGCTAGTGGCGCCCGGACGCCCCTCTCCCCCCACGGGCAGGTCATCTGCTTCCTGGCAAGGAGGCATTTAGGTAGTTTGGGTCCAGCCTCAGCATGGCTCAGCCCCACCTCCTCATCCTGCACGGGGGTGCTAGGAGAGGGTCCCCGCTTCCAGCGCCGGGCAGACGGTGCATCGGGATTCGTAAGGGCTGTCTGTCACTTGGCCCATTGGTCTAGAGGCTCCTGTGGGCCAGGGCAGGAAGCCAAGTAGCCGCTGCAGGGGACAAGCTGGCTGCTGGCCGCTGAGGGCTGGCAGGAACACCGCCAGGGCGCCCCTCCCCAGGTGAGGGGGGTCTGAGGGCAAGGCGGTGAGTGCAGGCTCCCTGAGACAAACTGGGGACCCCACCTAGAGGGCAGCGCACCGAGGGGCAGTTGGGCCAGGCTGGGTCTGTGCCCAGCGTCCCCGGGGCGGGCAGCCGGGCAGCGGGGGCTCACACATGCAGCTCGGGGCTCAGGGCTCCCATGGTAGAGTTGAGGGCCACAGCCAATGTGGCCACCAGGGTCGGGTGGCATCGCCGCTGCCCATCAGTGACCTGCACTTGCACCCATGGGCACAGGCTGCCCCACCCCCTAGGGGCCGGGGCTAATCCAGCCCCAGGCAGCCCCTCGGGCACCCGCAAGCAGGTGCAGGAGGGGGAGCCCAGCCAGCTGGGGTAAACTCGGCCTAGGAGGGCGTCTGCTCGAGCCCAAGCCCTGCAGCCCTGTCCTGGGCTCTCGCTGTCACTCTGATCCCCGGGAGCTCTGGTGACAGGGCTGGCTGGGCAGCCTCCAGCCTGTCCTGGGGGGGGCACCAGGCCACCGGGCGTCCAGCGCAGGCGTGCAGGGAGCCCGCCTCGCCCCATCCCCGCCATCTCTGCACTGTGCTCAGCTCCGGGTAAGGCTGGCTCGCTCTCCAGGGAACTCTGACCTGAGGCACCCAGGCCTCCCTAGCTACCTGCAGGGCTGGCCCTGGAGGATGGGGGTCAGAGGCTCCCCGGCAATCCCAGGGCCAGGCCTGGGGGCAGAGGCCTGAGGCGGGGCCATCCCCACTCACGCCCATCAGGGGGAGGATGCCACTCCCCCACCCATGCCTATCTTGGAGACTGGGCTCACTCTGAGCAGGTGGGAGTAAGCGGGAGCCTCCCCTGACTACGTCACCCCGACGCCAGCCAGCCTCCGGTCTGGCCCAGCAAGCCCAATGTCACCCGTCGGAGGTGTGACCCCAGCGCGAGGCCCGCCCCAGGGGAGGCAGCCACAGCGGAGCTGGGCGGGAGTGCGGCCCCACTCGGGCCCTCCAGGTTTCTGGGCCCCAAGACCTGCGGGCTCGGGGGCAGCGTGGGTGTGGGCCTGCGGCCAGTCTCTGCACCCCAGCGCCTGCAGGCTGAGCGTCCCCCCACCCCGGGGGTAGGACCCCTGGCAGGTGGCCAGGCCTGGGAGAGGCCAGCGGGGCCAGAAGGTGGGACGCAGGCGTGGCCACCAGGGTGACCTCTTTCACCAAGCGGCCACCAGCCTGTGAGGGGAGTGCAGTCTGGGCTCCCCGTCAAAACACTCAAGCCTCCTGCACGGCGCAGGGGGGCCCCTCAGCGTCTTCAGACGGGGACCCAGCGTGCCCGGCGCCGGCCGCCTACCTGTGGCACACAGGGCGACGAAGGTCTGCGCGTGTTTGCGGATGATCTGTTTGTTGTCCTCGGCCACCGGCATGTTGGAGAGGAAGTGCTCGATGAAATCATGGGAGGTCATGGCCGCCAGGTTCCACTTGAGCTTGTTCACCAGGAGCAGCTCCATTTGCTGCAGAAAAGGGGGTGAGCAAGCATAAAGAGAGGGACGGGGCAGCCCTTGGGGGGGTGGGGGGCTGCCCAGTGAGACACAGATGACTGAAGAGGAGGGAGAGGGGTTGTTGGGAGGCCGGGAGGGAGGTAGGGGACACCTTGGGATCGCAGGTCAACGCAGAAGGTGGGCCGGGAAGGTGGGGGACAGCGCTGGGGGAGACCGGGCTGGGGGAGACCCAGCGGGGGGAGACCGGCTGGGGGAGACCCGGCGGGGGGAAGAGCCTCTCCGCAAAGGGAACGCGGAGCCCAAGATGCGCTCGCGCACGCGGCCGCTAGGCGGCGCCCGCCGCCCACTTCTCGGTTGCTGCAGGGCAGCAGACCGGAGGGAGCCGCAGCCGCCGCCGCGGTGGTGGGCAGGGGTCCCCAGCCGCGTAGCCGCCCTCCCTCGGGGACTCGG